ATTCAATTCTAACTTCTTCATTTTTTATTTCTCAATTACAATTTATTTCCAATATTATTTTGTATTGGTTTCAGGTATACACCACAATGGTTAGACAATCATATACTAGTACATTACAAAGTGTTCCTCCCAATATTTCCACTCCCCATCTATTTCATTTTTTGAAAAATGTTGACCCTATTCCACTAAATTATTTTCATGTCCTATTAATGGGTTGTGGGCCACAGTTTGAAACCAATACATTATACTACAGAGTTTAAAAAAAACAAACCCACACACATTCCATATCTTTTTCTTTTTAATTCCCACTCAAGGATATGTTTTTATAGATTTTGAGAGAGAGAGAGAGGGAGAGAGAGAGAGAGCGAGAGAGAGAGAAACATCGATGTAAGAGAGAAATATTGATCTGTTGCTTCCCATACATGCCCTGACCGGGAAATGAACATGAAAACTTTTTTGGTGTGCTGGACGAAACTCCAACCAACTGGGCCACCCATCCAGTGTGAGAGAAACATTAATTTGTAGTTCCACTTATGTATGCATTCATTGGTTGCTTCTTGTATGTGCCCTGACCTGGGATCAGACCCACAACCCTGGCGTATGGGAACAACACTCTAAACTGAGCTGCCCGGCCAAGGCTCATTTTTTAATTGTACTAAAAAACATGGCCAATGCACAAACACATTTGTTTAAAGACTTTTAAAAATGACAGAGGAAAATAATCTATTGACACTAATTCTATAGTTAACTTGGCTATGCAAAGAAATAAAAGAAATACCGAAGGTCTGGTTTCTTGGCCCTCATATCTCATGAATAGTAATCTCAAACCATCATCTTGTTTCTGATTCCATCCTTGTCTCCTTGTTTACAGTTCTGAATTTCACGATATGCCATGTCATATTCATTTTCTTGGTTTTGTGTCTTATTTTCTGCACCAACTCATGCTTATAAATTGCTGCTTTGTACTTGCAGTCAGAGCAGTGCATTCCAAAGGGAGGCAGGAGGAATGGTGAGGGTTTTCACATAGCTGACTTTGTTTTGACAGTGATGGTATCTGATAGAGTGGGAAGTGATTATAGTCCAACACCCAGCCTCGTTGTACACACCAACTATTCATAGCCTCTGGAGCGGGGAGATACATACGAGCATGGGGGCAGAGACCGAGAAGCCGATCAAGCTGAGGACAGGGAACATGTGGTTATGCAAGGCATCGAGGTCAAGGTCATGCTAAAAATCAAATATTTAAAATATTGGCTCCAGCACAATAACTCTGTGGTCTAAAATTATCCCAGTCTTCCAACTCTCACAGGACTGACAGAGCGGCTAGTGTAACTCAGGGAAAAGGCAGAACAGGGTCCAAATCTGCATCTAAAAGAAATCTCAGATAAAAGATACAGAGAACTTGACCTGGCTCCTCCAGATGCTGTGAAAGGTGCTCCAGGTAACTGGATATTATTGCCGGAGAATATAGTTACATAAACCAGATAATGTCACCATCTTCATTCCTATTGCTGTCCACCCATGTGGTTGGCAATTTCACTGGGAGTATACCACCCAGTTCAGGTCATTCAAACGCTTCTCCACAGACATGGGAGGAACAGCGGTGACCAGGTGAGACTCAAGACTATTGTCCTGGTTATTCTCCATGCCCCGCCACCCCCACATCCATCCCTGTTCTGCACCTTCTGTGTGCTCTACAACTCCATCACCAGGCTCCCTGTCCCTTTGACTTCCTGTTGGGTTCAGCCATGGGAGTCACTGGCAGGAGATTACAGGTTGACATATTTATTCCGAGCTCCATCCCACCCCATCCGGGCTGCCTTGCTCCTGCTTTACAGTGTTCTGGCAGCGGTCAGTTTCTGTGGGAGGCCCCTCTTCCACTCCTCCAGCTCTCAGACTCCGCCCCGTTTCCTCCCCTGGCCCTTTAGTTCTGGTCCTAGTCCCTGGGGGCCTCACCATTCTGTGTTGGTTCCTTAACTCTGGCCACACCTTTGTAAATAGTCCCTTCATTAGGCTTTTATTCTGCCCGCTTCCCCCAGATAAACACTTTTGTGGGCACATCTGCTGCCTGCTGGGACCCAGATGGACGGACTTACTTGGTCTCACATCTATGGGTGCTCTAGGTTTTGCTCACACCTGGGTCTCCCAGAGGTCCAAGCAGGCAGAACACTTTTGCTGCCTTGAAATCTGACTTCTGGCCTTGGCCGGGGCCCTTCTTGGGTCACTCCCTCCACTTATTCAGGCTCTGCTTGTTTTGGCTAGTTGCCAGCTACTGAATGCCAGCTGAGAGTCCCTGACTTTGTTATGCAATTTTGAGCAGGATCAGGTAGGGTCAAAGCTCACAGCAGTAACCCCAGGTTTTTTAGGCTTCATTCCTTTGCAAGGGCTCAGGAGAGGTGAAATGGGCTGCTCCAAGCTAGTCCCCTAAGGGGAAATAGATTCTCAGGCCTGGAAAGAACGTTAAAGGTCATCCGGGCCAACCCCTCCCTTTGCAGTAGGGAAACTAAGGTCCAGGAAGAAGGGACTCCCTCAGGTATTGGTAGAAACAGGGTGAGAATTCAAAGATCCTGAGTATTTGTCATCAAATCTCAGTGTTGGAAGGAGCGTTGAAGGTTGTACAGCCTGACCACAATAAGTAGCAAAGTACAGGCTCTGTCATTTACAAAGGGGGGCGGGGAGGATTGCCAGAGACACAGTGGTCCCTGATGACCTCTAAACCTAACCCTAACCAGCGACAATCCATACAGAGCAGCAGGATGGGATTTGGAACAGAAGAAACGCCCTTCTGCTGGGGGTCACCAACAGCTCCCCACTTGTAACAAGCAAAGTCCCCGCCAGTGGGCCAGCCTCCTGAGCAGCCACACAGGTGTGAGCAGCACTGCTTCCCAGGTTCATGTGAGGGGCCGCTGTGGCTGAGTGCTGGCTGTGTCCCCTAATCAGGGTCACTTCCTGCGCCCTCAGTTAAGGAGTCCCTGGAGGCTCGATGGGGCCACGTGGCTAATCCTCACCAACAGAAGCAAGCGAGTTATGCGTCACTTCCAGTTCCTGGTGGCAAAGAAAAAGCTTTGCTTTCTTTTCTGTCCACCTGGCTGGAAGCAAAGGATTCCCAGATGGTGAAGTTGTAACTGGACAATCAATAAGTCTGTGCAGCCTGTCACTACTTGAGCCAATCAAGCAGAGACAGGGTTGAATCATGTAAGAGTGTTCATTCCAATACTGCCGGCAGTATGGGAGAGCAGCAGGTCATCCACAAAGATCTGTTCTGCAGTCCCCCATAAGCCAGTTACTTATATAGGGTAAGGCAAAGATTACACAGAGAAATATGGATTATAAGTATAGGGAAGTAGGGATTACAAGCATGGGGAAGTAGGGGCTGGGTGGGACTCCATTGTTTGGGCAACAAGGTTGTTAATCTTTCCATGAGAATGGACCACATTTCAAGGTTGACTCCCAGGTCCAAGGTTGACTCCCAGGGTCAAGGTTGACAACCAGGTCCAAGGTTGACTCCCAGGTCCCGGGGGCATAGAACTCCCGGCCAGATCAGAATGTCCTTTCTTTAACCAACACAAGGCAATCATGGTTAACAGAGCATGATTAATACGTATTTCCCATAGCCATAGCTAGTCCCCAATATTCTATTTTTGCCCCTAACAAAGTTACCACAGGGGCCCAGCCAGGATGCTATGTCTGGAAGACAGCTATGTGGGAGCACTGCCCCCACCCCCAGCCCCTCAGACTCACCACATCTTACTGTAAACAGCATAAAGGATGAGAAATAAATAAGCTGTCGTAGTGCTGAACACTGAGACAAGGGGGAAGAGGGTGAGCAGCAGCTAACAACCCCGATTAATATAGAAATTAAATAATTTTCCAGGTAACCCACAAATTCTTCCAATCCCTCAGGATTCAGAATGTCCTTTCTTTAACCAACACAAGGCAATCATGGTTAACAGAGCATGATTAATACGTATTTCCCATAACCATAGCTAGTCCCCAATATTCTATTTTTGCCCCTAACAAAGTTACCACAGGGGCCCAGCCAGGGTGCTATGTCTGGAAGACAGCTATGTGGGAGCACTGCCCCCACCCCCAGCCCCTCAGCCTCACCACATCTTACTGTAAACAGCATAAAGGGTGAGAAATAAATAAGCCGTCGTAGTGCTGAACACAGACAAGGGGGAAGAGGGTGAGCAGCAGCTAACAACCCCGATTAATATAGAAATTAAATAATTTTCCAGGTAACCCACAAATTCTTCCAATCCCTCAGGATTGATCTTTCAGAGGCATCTTCAAGCCCTCCCTTCTGCCCTGTCCTGGAAGTCTAATTCCACAGTGTCTCCCATCTACCTCACACTCCCCTTTCCTTCCCTCACCCTCTCCCCTGCCATTTATCACCCGACAGCTCAATTAGCCTCCTAGAGAGGAGGGGCCCTCCCCTTAGAAGTGCCCTTCTCACTCTGGCAGAACCATTTCCATAAAGGGCCCCCTGACCCACATAGTCCTCAAACAGTACACCTAGCCCTGCCCCTGGAATTGCCCAGATCCCAACAGTCAATGCTGGGCCACTTTTCTTAAAGCAAAGTCACTGGAGAATAGCAATATTCCCTTTGGGTTTGCAAAGGCACTCAGAGTCTCCGTTATCTCCTTTATTGTTCTGAAGGGACAATAATTTAAGAGCACTATTTACAAGTTTTTGATAACAACAACAATAATAGCAATGACAGAGATGATAACCCCGCCCTTTTTTTCCATTGTAGAAACTTCCAGCCATTCACCCTATCAATCCCTTAAAATAGAGTCCTTCCTATCATGACTCTTCCCTTTTGGGACATGACCTGGGTTTCAGTGTCTAATCTCCAAGATCCTGGGGTGGTACCCACATAGAGATTTAAAAAATTTTTTTTTCTTCAGGCCATAGGGGATTTTCTGCTGAGAAGACAATGAAATCTGTGCTTTTTCCCACCCTTCTTAAGGAAGAAAGATTTCAGGGGGCACCACACCTAAACATCCTGGGCATTTCCAGCAAATCTCAGCAGATGATGAGAAGGATTGGGATAATTATTGCAGCTGAGACCTACAGTGCTCATGGTAAGTTTTTTGTTTTTTTAAAAAAATATATTTCTTTATTGATTTCAGAGAGAAAGGTGGGGGAGGAGGGGAGAGAGAAACATCAATGATGAGAATCATTGATTGGCTGCCTCCAGCAGGTCCCCTACTGGGGATCGAGCCCACAACCCAGGCATGTGCCCTTGGCCAGAATCGAACCTGGGACCCTTCAGTCCCCAGGCCAACGCTCTATCCACTGAGCCAAACCAACTAGGGCTGTTTTTTTTTATTTTGTTTCGTTTTGAAATCAGTGTAGGTGATCCATTAAGTTAGATTTGCCTAGTCTTTTATCAGTTTCTCTTGACTTGCTCTTGAGTTCTTCACCAGTAAAAATCTTTAGTGAAATAATTGTGTATGATTATGGGATGGTGTCTTAGTGAGTGAGTGAATTATTGACTAATTGACTGAATGAATGGCTATTATAATCTATTAGCCTCATGACCACATGAGTCCATGGAAAGTAGACTCACCAGAGTCAGGAGACCTGGGCCCTAGCCTTGGCCCTGTTGTGAACTCAGCCATGTGATCATAAGCAAGTCACTTCTGCAGATTGACACTTGTTTTCACCACATGTAAAATGAAGGGTTTGGACTAGACCAGTGCTTCTCACACTTCCAGGTGAATATAGATCACCTTGGGGGAGGGGGGGCTTGTTAAATGCAGATTCTGAATCAGGAGATCGGGGTGAGGTCCAAGATTCTTCATGTCTAACAAGGTCCAGGTGATGCCAGTACTTCTGGTGCATGGGCTACACTTTAAGTAGTAAGAGTCTTGCTAGATCTCCATGGTCCGTCCCTTTCCTAATCTTTAATGGCTCTATTTTTGACAGATTAGAATAATCAGTTTATTCACCACTCAACAGCCAGACTCTTTATAAAACGTAAGTCTGACTCCTTGGTGGCTTCCCATACTCAGAATAAAATGTAATTTTTACAGTGTAGTCCTGCAAAGCCCTACATGATCTGATTCCCCCAACTCCTTTACTTTCTCTGGCCCCATTTCCTACCACTTCTCCCCTTATTGATATACTTCAGCCACATTGATCTCTGCTTTTCCAGGTGTTAGTCTCTGAGCCATTGCATATGCTGTTTCCTCTACCTGGAATACCTGCAGATATCTGTTTAGTTTGGTCTTTGTTCAAATATCATCTTATCAGAAAGACCTTCCCAGATCACCATTTAAAAATTGTTCCCCACTTATACTCTATTACTCTTTAACCCCTTATCCTGCTGAATTTTCATTCATAACAAATATTGCCATTATGTATAGGTTTTTATAGTTAGCAATCTTCTTATATATTTAATGACATATTTAATTTGTATATTTATTTGATTATATGTATATTGACTCTCTCCCCTACTAGAATGTGAGCCCCGCGAGAGCAGGATTTTGTCTATTTTGCTCACTACTATCTCCCCAGGACCTGAATGGTGGTCAATCATTATTTTTTGAATACATAAATAAGTGAACAGGTTAATAGAAAAATGAGATAAGAACAGGCTATTAAAAAATAGGGCCCAACGGTGTCACTTGAACTATCTGCACCCTCTCTATCTTTAAGAAAAGCTGTGAGTTCCCAAGTCCCTGAGACAGCTGGATAGAAGAAGGAAGTCTGTAAGGAGAATGGTTTGGGGCTCATCTTAGCCACAGAGCCGTTTCTGTACTTAGGACTCACCTGACTTCCCTTTGAAGCCATTGTCACCTGAGAGAATATATCACCCTGGTGGGGTAGTGGGTCATCAGACCACCCTTCAAATCGCCTAACTAACTCTCCTTATTCTATTCTAGGCCTACCACTAGGATCCTCACCGTGATTTGGCTTCCCACAGTGACAAAGGACAGGCTGGGTCAGGCTGACCCAAATGCCTGCTACACCTGGCACTTAGCGTCTCATTATAAATCCATCATTTGGCATTCTGCTTTATCCCCTCCAGTCTCCTCTGAGTGAGTCAGCTTGCAGAGAGAGTCCCAGTAACTCTGGGTCCCTGATGGGATCAAGTTTCTGAACCTTTAAGACCAGACCCTGGACAGCAGCTACTTCTGTAATATGTTGCTGCCTGTGAAGGTTCTCAGCAGCTGGCCAGCTGGTCCTTCCCAAGCACCACCCAGCTTTACTGTAAGATTTGCTGAGCGTTTTCCCCAGACCCAGCAATTCCACTTAGAGGAGTTTATATTAAGGAGATAATTGGATAAATATGTAAAGATGTATGTAGAAAAGTACTCATTATTGCATTGTCATCTCCCCTCTTCCTCAGCTGGATGTGGTGGTGGTGGTACTTTCGTATCCAATGCTGTCGCCCGAGTGTGGGTAGCCGCTAGAGCCCCCCAGGCCCCACCTCATATAGCACCATGGGAATTAATTGATGGTGCTGTCTCTTATGATAATTATGAAGGAGTGCTAGCAACAGAGTAGCAGTTGGTTAAGTAATCTGTACCCTGGACCCAGAAGTAAATGAACATTTGACCTCATTTAGTGACGAAGGAATTAGGCAGCCATGTCTCTTGCTGGGGCCAGGAGTAGAGTCCTGGCCACAGAGCAGCAGTTGGTGTCGGTGAGCTGAGCCGTAGACCAGAGGCTGATCCAGTCCTCAGTTCTTGTTATTGCTGAGGGCACTGCTGGGGCAGGTTTACAAGCTGACCTGGAAGTCATCCAAGGTCAGATGGGCTCCTATCACTCACCTCTCCTTGTGGCCTCCCCCTGGAGTATGGCAGCTTTTCCAGCAAAGAAAGGTCCCTTTTAATTTTTAAATATGTTTTTATTGGTTTCAGAGAGAGGAAGGGAGAGGGAGAGAGAGACATTAATGAGAATCATTGATTGGCTACCTCCTGCATGCCCCCCACTGGGGACTGAGCCCCCAAACAGGCATTTTCCCTGATTGGGTATCAAACCGTGACCCCCTCGTTGATGGGTCAATGCTCAACCACTGAGCCACACCAGCCAGGCCAAAGGTCCCTTTATATTCACTTTCCCAGAGGAGAGAGTAGCCCCTCCCACTCACTTTGCAAGGAGCCTTCGCCCTGTAGTCACCCTTCTCACCATTTTAGAAGAAGCAAATTACTTTTAGTTTCCAGCGATGATTCAACCTTCCAAGGGTGACCAAGATGACCTCTCTCTCTCTGAAGCAGGAAATAACCTCCCAATTTAGCAAAAAACTGGGAACACTAATCCATCAGCCAGGATCTGACTCACTATATTAAGGCTTATTCATACAGCATATCAAGGTTTATCATGAAGCATATTAAGGTTTATCATGCAGCCATTAACATAAAACTGTAGCTCTATATGAATAGTTAAATGAAAAGAGGAATGTGATGAAACCTGCACTTTATACTCTGGATGTGCAAGTGTAAACATGAGTGCATGGAGAAATGAATGATACTTGCCAAATACTAACAATGACTATATCTGGATGGTGCTATTTCTGATCTTTTTTATACTCCTCTGTATTATTTGAAACGAGTGACCCGGTGCACAGATTCGTGCACATTGAAAGGAAATTAATTAGAAGGTGGCCCGGTGGGGCAGGACTGCTGGATGTGCAAGTGTAAACATGAGTGCATGGAGAAATAAATGAACGATACTTATCAAATACTAACAATGACTATATCTGGATGGTGATATTTCTGATCTTTTTTATACTCCTCTGTATTATTTGAAACGAGTGACCCGGTGCACAGATTCGTGCACATTGAAAGGAAATTAATTAGAAGGTGGCCCGGTGGGGCAGGACTGGGCTAGATGGGCTGGACATGCCCTGGAGCCAACCTCCTGTGGTCCCTGCCCAGTGTCTGTGGAGTGAGCGGGGTCCCTCCAGCAAGTGGGTCCCTCAGCCTGGCCTGCAGAGATAGGGCGGAAACTGGCTTTCTGACATCCCCCAAGGGGTCCCGGAGTGCGAGAGGACACTCTGCAAAGTTGCTGTTGTACAGGGTGTGGAACGCAAATGCAAGTGTGAAGTAAACCAGATTTGGGCCAACAGTGCACCAGCAACAACATGACCCACGACCAAAGGTGGACTTGTGTGGCCCCGCAAGGACTTGGGCTCCCTCCTCTCTGGTTTCAGGGTGTGTCACCTGAGAACCATCACTGCCAAGTCACTGCAGCTCAGCAACTCCTGCGTTGAGCGTCTGCCCCCTGGTGGTCAGTGCACATCATAGCAACCGGTTGGATGTTTGAACCCTTAGCATATTAGCCTTTTATATATATAGATTTTATAATAAGAATGTTCATTTTATAATTATGAAAAACTACTTTCAGTTTGGAAGAAAAAATTTCATTCAATTTGATATATTTTATCATACAAAATGCTGGCGTAGTGGCTGGCACAAGGTACCATGGAAACACAGGGTTGAGAGTGGTCTTAACCCTGCCTACCATTTGCAGGATCAGCATGCCCTGGATTAGATGACCTCTATGGTAGGTCTTCCTATTTCAAGAATCTATGATTCAAAGACGCCAAACAGTATCTCTAGATCAAAACTATTTATAAGAATCATTTCCTTCATAATGAGTTGGAACTTCCATTAACTGCTTGTGTGTTTAGATGACATCATCTCTGAGATTTATGTGACATGACTCCTTTTCCTTGATGTTATCAAGGAGTTTCAGCAGTTGAGTTCCTTATGTTTCTTTGTGTTTAAATGATATCTGAAGAAGCTGTCATTTGTCTAGGTTTAATTGTTTCCATTATTTTTTTCCTGGTAAGGTTCCAGATATTGCTGGGCAGATTTGATCATGAGCCCAGCAAAGATACTGAGAGATGAAACATGTCTATAAGTTCCAAGTTTTAGCCCAGATCTTTCACTTTTTAGCTGTGTGTCTTTGAGTTAATCACATCTCTCTGGGCCCTGCTTTTTTTGTTTGTTTTGTTTTGTTAATCCTCACCTGAGGATATATTTTCTATTGCTTTTTAGAGCGTGCAAGGGAAGGAGGTGGAAGAGAGAGCGAGAGAAAGAGAAACATCATCAATTGGTTGCATCCACACACACCTGGACTAGAGCCAAGGATTGAACCTGCAACCCCAGTATGTGCCCTTGGCCAGGAATCAAACCTGAGACCCCTTGGTGCAGGGGGTCTATGCCCTAACAACTAAGCCACACTGACCAGGGCGTGGGCCCTACTTTTTAAAAATTTATATAAAGTGGGGAGAGAAGGGAAGTTAGACAAGATGATTTTAAAGATCTTGTCCAGCTCTGACTCTATAATGAGTTTTAACTCTGAGATTCTAATACAGTTTCTTATAGTCCTGCTCCCAAATATTCTTCATGTTATCTCAGTATCTAAGTATTTCAATAATTACAGAATTATATTGAATGGTGACACCATCTTTGATTCAAGTCCTGCTTGAATCCCTCCAACACCACTGGTACTAGGTGGTCACCCTGTATCTACTACGCTCACAGGGACAAGACACCCACTTCCCCCAAAGCAGCCCATGTCCCTTTAGTCAGAAAGAGCATTTAAAAGGTGATTCTTGGCAGAACTGAAGTCTGCCGCCCTGTAGCTCCTACCCAGTGCTCTGCGCTCTGGGTCACTTTGCGAAGGGCAGGCAGAAGACACTTTTCTGTTGTCCCCAATCACTGCCCACTGAGCAGCTCCAATGACGGTGTTTCCTGACACTGATCTTGGAGCAGGGGGGTCTCCCCCTTTCTATTTAGATCTCAGAGCTCAAACATGGGTAAGCAGATCTTTACTCAAAGCTCCAGTGATGAACATGAACCAAATACAGTAGGAGTGTGGAAAGTCAGGTGTTGGGTCCCTTTTCTCAGACTTTGTCCTTTTGCCCGACCAAAAGTCTGAAGCCTCATGCTGACTTATAACCATGTGGATGTCCCTTCCTTTCCTAACATAGCTCTTCTCTCTCTCCTCATATCACTTCTTTCTTTTTTAATCCCCCGGGAGTCCCTACATCTCTCCACCCCATTTTACTGACTTTACCAACACTCTTATCAGAAATCTTCAGGTCCAAGTCCCCTCTTGTGTCTGTAAACTGTGCAGCCTCTAGCACCTCTCTCTTCTCACTCCACTTTCTGCCACTCACTACAAAAAAGGGGTGGTTCTGAAATACAATGGAAAGAGAGGGCATCCAGGATAAAGAGGACTCCCATTTCAGAGTGCAGTGTGCCTTCCCCCAAATATGACAGAAAAAATTAGACACAGCTTGCACTTCAAGGATCACAGTCTTGCAACTAGCAGTTAAATACGTCATGGAGATGTAATGCAAGGCATAGTGATTATAGTCAACAATACTGTATTATAACCTCCAGAGATGCTAAGAAACCAGATCTTCATTGTTCTTGCCACAAAAAAAAAAAATTATGATGTCCACACAAAAAATAATTATGTGATGTGGTAGAGGTGTTAATTAGCACTATGGTGGTAATCATACTGCAATATAGAAATGTATCGAATTAGCACCTTGTATACCTTACATTTATTTAATGTTATATGTCAACTAGAGGCTTGGTGCACAAAATTCATGCACGGGTAGGGTCCCTAGGCCTGGCCGGCTATCAGGGCCAATTGGGGACTTCTGGCTGCTGGCGGAGGCCTCCCTTCCCCGGCTGCCAGTTGCCAGCTGCCGGCCGGGGCCTTCCTTCATTCCACGCCACCCCCTGGTGGTCAGCGCACATCATAGCGAGCAATCGAACTCCCAGTCTCCAGGTCGAATTCCCAAGGGGACAATTTACATATTAGGCTTTTTTATATATACTAGAGGCCTGGTGCATGAAATTTGAGCACGGGTGAGTTCCTAGGCCTGGCCAGTGATCAGGGCTGATCAGGTTCCCTGCCTCCCCACCGCCTCCTTCCCTCGCTGCCTGCGTGCCGCCACCGCGCAGTTCCCCACCTCCTCGCCTCCTCCTTCCCTTGCTGCCCACGCACCGCCACTGCATGGTTCTCCATCTCCCCTACTCTCCAACTCCCCCACTTCTCCTTCCCTCGCCACCCACGTCCACCACCACCCACTCCCAGTTTCCCCTCCCAGCCCGGGGCCCAGCCCTGATCGGGCAATCGGGGCCTACCGGCTGGGGGGAGAGGCCAACTGCCACCAAGGAGGGCGGACGGTGGGCAGATTGGGGCCTGCTAGCCAGGGGAGGGACCCGGGAGATTGGCTGCTGGCCCTGAGGAGGGAGCCAGCCCTCGGCCCCCCTGGGAAAGGGGCCGTGTCCGCTGCCACCCACTTCCGGTTCCCCGTCCCAGCCTGGGGGCCTGGGCCCAATAGCCTGATCAGGGCCTGCCAGCCTAGGGGAGAGACCAGGAGGTTGGCCGGCAGGCCCCACCAGTGATCAAAGCCTGTGGACTGGGAGCAGCTCCTGCGTTGAGCGTCTGCCTCGTGTTGGTCAGTGCACATCATAGTGACAGATCCTTCCGGTCATTCCAGTTGTTCGGTCGTAAAAGTCACTTAGATATATATATAATCTCAATTTTAAAAACAGACAGAA